TTGTAATACCCAAGCCCAATTTTCATATCCTAATTAGTTGACTTAGTTCATAAGTTTCTAAAAGAAATAACTAAAAATAGAAGAGAAACTTTAATAGTCTTCATTCGACATTTTCTCTAAGAGAAAAAGAAATATAAAAATTCAAAAAAAAAAAAACTCCTAAGAAGAGAAGGAAGAGAATGGCTAAGATTGAGATTATAATCATGCAATTGAAGATTTGAGGTAAGATTTGTCTTTTCAACTTTTCAATTTTAGTATTTGTGAGAAAAACTTAAGTATTAGGTTAGGGTTTTTAATATTTTAAATTTTTCGGCATCATTCCGGTAACTTTCCGACAAAATTGTGGGTACCAATGAAAAAGTCTCTTCAAGACCTTTCTAATGGTATGTATGGTACTTTATTTGATTAAGTAATTTAGGAGAATTGAATGTTCGAAAAATTTGATTTTTGGGTTTTGAAAGTGATAAACATCCAACTTTGAGCCACCAAAACCCCCTATTCCGATAGGTGATTTGGTCGAACTTGAGGTGCTTTTGATAGTATAAATGTAAACTTTCTAGTGGTATAATTAGTTTGTTTAAATGATTTATAGGATAAGGGAACCAAAGTCCCAAAATAGGTTTCATGAATCTAAAACCCAGAAAAATATAAGCCATTTGTGATAATTTGTAAAGTTTTGGCCTTTGAAACTAAAGCTTTTAGAAATCATTTTTGTGGAAACAAAATTCTAAATTGTAATATTACATTCCTACTTTAAAATTTATGCCTTCATTTGTCACTAGAAACTATGGGAGATTAGAGATTTTGTAACTCAAAGTAAGTAAAATAATCATAAAATGTGAAATTTTCAGAATTTAGAAATTTTCATTTTTAATTATTTTAAAAATTATTTCCAACCCTTATTTGATATATTTAGTTATAAATTACTTTAATTTTGGTTATATATTTAGTTTTGTCTATTTATTTTGTAAATCAAGTTGAGCATTCAAAATGTTCATATGATTACTTTATTATGAGGTTGGAATATGGTTTGATATTATTTTGATTTCTGAATATCATTTTGTAATAATATATCTATATATTCATTGTTTTGTCGAAACATGAAAATTTTCTTCAGAATGATTATGGAATTTACTTTGTATGGATTATGTTTTGAGAAGGTTTATATATATTAAATTTGTATATGTTCGGTAATTTGAAAATATATTTTGATTTTTATCTCCTACTATGACTATGTTTTGGCCCTACCGATAGGGGTTAATTGTTGGTCATGTCAACATTTATTTTGTGATATCAATACCGATTTCGAATTATGCCACGAGTTGAGAATAATAGTTTTTGTTCACCGTGCCATCGATGATATACTTTTGTCCCATTGCACTAAAGTAGTTATTGTGATATACTTCTGCCTCATTGCACTAAAGGGGTTACTATGATTTTTATTATGTTCTATTGCACTAACGAGTTAATTATGATTGTCAGTGCAATGATTTAATTGCTTCTAATATACTTCTTTCCCATTGCACTAGAAAAAAAATTATAATTCTGACTTGTGCTATGAGGATTAAATGTGGTCATAATATGTTATAAAAGACCAATAAAATTTATAATTTTGTGATATTTGATTTTTTTTTGTGATTTGAGAATCTGATTTTAAAAATATCACTACTAGAAAATGGAGTTTTAGCAAGCATAATTTGCAACAATCAAAAAAATTATTGCAAAATATTATTGTATTTGCAACAATTTTTTACATTCGTTTCTTATTTGATTTTTTAAATATATTATATAACGATAATTTTTGTTGCTGTAAATTTCTACAAGATTGGTAATGATAAAAAACAATTGTTACGAAATCATATTATGTTTGCAACAACTTTTCATTATTGTTATCTAATTAATTTTTTAAATATTTAACACAATGATAAAAAAAAAAGTAATTGCAATATCCATACCATATTCATAATGACAAAAAAATTGTTCTGAAATATTATTAAATTTGCAACAACTTTTTTTAATTGTTGTCAAATTAATTTTTTCAAATATTTTATACAACAATTGAAATAGTTGTTATGAAATCTTTATTATTTTTTGAAAACAAAAAGTTATCGTTATAAAATCTTTTTCAATTTGTAATGATTGAAAAAGTTGTTGTGAAATTATATTATATTTGAAACAACTTCTGAAGTTGTTTAATCAAAATGGTTTACATCAAGATGATTTTTTTTTCTTTTAATGTGAAGGCCTTTAAGTAGCAACTAGAAGAAATTTTCATCTAACTAAACCTTGGTCAAAGATGTCTTGGTCAAAGATCTCTTTGAGGTTTGAAACAAATATCAATATATGTATATATATATATATATGTATATATATATGAGGAGTGATTCGTTTATATTATTGTAAGTTTTACATATCTTCTGAATTTTTATCAAAATGACTAAATGTAAGTATTATAAATTTATTTTTGATCTAAAGGTCAAAAAAATTATAATTTTTATACTAATATAAATGGATCTCTATTTTATATTTATATATATATATAAAGAACAAAAATGAAAAAAGTGTCCTATTAAAATTTTATATCTTGATCTTTTCCCATTTAATAATACTACATGAAACAAATACAAAACAAATACTATTTGAATAGAAAGGATGGGAACCCGTGTTTTCTCACTCTCAAAAACAAATAATTTAGTATATATATATATATATATATTTATAGCATCATAGTATGAAAACATTTCTAAATTCCTTGCTGAGTTACAACAAACCTTTTAAGATTTCATGTGATTTGTTTTTTCATTAACTTTTTCTTTTTATCCATATTTGATTATATTATGAATTACAATGGATTAATAAATTTCAGTTGAAGCAAACTTTATGAATTATGAACTAAAATTATATTTTTTAATCTAAATTATGATTGGTTATATAAATAAATATTAATATTACTTTTCAAGATATCATAATTCCTAAGCTTTCTGTGCAATTAAAATTTTACTAAAATAAATGTTGTAATTTATTAATATTTTGGCCATCTATTAATTATTTTTTTAATTCATATATAAATTAAAAAATAAAAAATGTTATATTGTAGCAACCTGCGTTAGCTTTAGTATGTCATTTTCCCATTCTTCTTTCTCTCCAAAATCACAACTGCCAACATAGCACACAACTCTCTCTGACCAACCCGATACCCTATCCCTTTCCTTCGCCGGCGAGTCCCCATTCTTCCCATATGCCGACGACCAACTCTTCTCATTTATCGTCACTTTGCTTGGTTATTTCCTCTTCTCCCTAAATCATCGAGAGACGCAGCTATCACCCTCAAGGAAACCCGATTGCCTTCCCATCCCTTGAGACGGCAAGTACCCTATTCCTTCCCCCTTTCTTTCAGCAAGCTTTGCCCCCTCTTCCTCCTTCGAGTCTCTCCCTTTTCCTTTATTTGATTCCTTTTAAAATTATTTCATTGTTATTATTTTTGCTTTTAATTTGTTTACAAAACTTTTCTTTCATTTTCATAACTTTGAGGTAATTTATTTGCTTCAATTTTAATTTAAATTATATTAGGGCGTATTGATCTCTGGACTTTGAACAATAAAAATAATTTATATTCTACATTTTAATTATATTTTGATTTTGCCATATCAATTATTTGATTTTTGTTTTATGGGCATATTATATTTCTTTGTTTCACAATTAATTAACCAATGAATTTAGAAAAAGCCAGACTTTGAATAAATTTTTTTGGTTTATGGGTATATGCATTTTTTGTGTATTCTATGAAATATTTGCAGTTTTGTTGGCTTGATATGAAAAATAAGCATAATTACTGATTGCAGGTGAAACAAATTGAAGAAAATGTTGATGAAGCAGTGAAGGATCTTCCAGGCACCAATACGGTAATGCTTGAAGGTTAATCCCTTCTCCTTGAAACCTCTCTGTCTTAAAAAAATCTAACAACAAATTTCACTAACTACAGAATCCAGAAGATTTATGTATTAATCATTCCCAGGTGTTTATCAAAAAGATTTTAAGAGAAGAATTAGAAAGAATAGATTTTGCAGCATCATTCTCCATTTTATCTTATACTTGTATCTGACATTTTATACTACATTGCCATTCTGATCCCTTACACACTCAGTATATATGTGATTTTATATCTCATTACTCTTGTAATTTGTAGGTTCTTGATAGTGTGAGAAGGGATAGGTCTAAAAACATTTTTGGCTTGTAAAACCATTGGGATCAAGTCAGGTGACGCTGGCAGGTTTGTCTAATTAATCTGCTTCTATTATACACTTAATTTTGTAGGATAATTACTGTATACTCTGTCATACATGTTTTCATGTCAGCTATTTTTTTGGTAGTGTGCATTTGGTGGAACTATGTGGGACTGACTTGTACTTTGCGATGAAAGTTATGGATAAAGGTGTTATGCTCAAACCAAACAAGGCATTTGAAATTGCATTGATTATGAGTATTAAGCTTCAAACCCAGATAGTCATTTGTTTGTTATCTGATGATAAGTCTGGTAATGCATATAACTATTGTACTAGGACCAAGAGAGGAGCTCCCCTTTAGTTTAAATCTTCATTGTTTTAGTTTGTTAGTTCGGTAATAGTGAACATGTAGTGGGCTTTGATTAAGTTTACTCGAAAGTTTAAGATAATTAGGATTTTAGTAGTCATTTAGTATTGATAATACGATTGAATTGTCCTTTAATTCATTTATATTTTATTTAAGTTCATATTTTGTTATTTAATGCTTATGCTAAACAATTCCCTTTTTTTTTTTCTAGCACTAGCAATGACTTTCAATTATTGGCATGGAAAGAGTTTCTCTATGAACAAAATGATTATCAAAAAAGCTGTGGAATCTAGAGTCAAAGAGTCGACTTGATTCCTTTGGGTCAACGTGTCAAGCAGCAAAAGATGCTAGAATGATCTTCTTTCCTGGTAATATTGTTTTTTTCCAAATTCTTTCACAATTTGCAAGTGAAAGCTTTTTTTCCAGTTTCTTTCACAATTGTGTTAGTGGAAGCTACTGATTTTTCTCTTTTAATTTCTGGTCCATTCTTTCTGTTGGCATCTATGATTAAAAGAATTATTTGCCTACTTTGTATTAAAGATCCTAATTAACTTGATTGAACTTCAATTTTGTTGCAGAGTTGAGGCAGAGTTGTCGCAACACCATTCGGTAAAAATCGAAACCTCTCGACAGTATCTGCTCAAAAACCCTTTGCTACCTTTGATTGGGCTGTTGAAGACTCATGGGAAGCTTGTTCTTGTTGGTGCTCCTAAGAAACCAATTGAGTTACGAGCCTTTTCAAAGCAGATGTTAAATACGGATTTGTCAAATACTGACTTTTCATTGACACAACAGTTTCAAGTTATATCGACTACGCCACTTGTTATATTAAACTTTGAGAAGATTCTAATTAATAATAAATAAATATATTACCTTTCACATTAATATTATTTTCTATTTTTTAATATTTGTATGAATTTTTCAAATTCTTTTGTTGTATTTAAATAAACATTTTAAAATTAATATAATTAGTGCTAAATATTTGTTTTCTATTTATAACATTAAATATTGTTGTCAAATATTATTTGCAACAATAATATTGGTTATTAAATTTTTTTAAATCGTTGAAATTAAAATTAAAAACGATAAAATTGTGGTTTAATAAGAACTTTGATAATAATTATTGTTGTTATTAAATTAACTATTGCAACAAAACAAATAGTGTTGCAAAAATTTTAAGCAACTAAAATAATATTGTTACATAAAAGTTTTAGCAACAAAATATGTGGATGTTAAAAAAATAATTTCACAACCACGTTGAGTTATTACTTAAAATATAATTTATTTACTAACAACAAAAAATCATTGCAATAAATATTTTTTAGGATGATTTTTTTAAACAATGAAAATTGTTGTGTGTATTTTTAATAATGGAAGTACGAGCAACAACCTTACAATGATTTTTGGTCGTTACAAAAAGATTTTTGCAATGATAAATTGTTATTTTGCAATGACATTAAGTGTTGCTAAAACAACTTTTTCTAGTAGTATATGTTTGTGAATACAAGATTACTTAAAATATTTTTGAATCATTTAGTTAATGTTTTGATCTAAATATTTTATGATATGCTTAATTCAACTGAGGGGATATCAGTTATTTACTGAGTCATCGTACTCATTTCTTTAAATTTCTTTACTTTTTTAGATTTCAATGTTGATATCTTAGATAGTTTAATCTTGACGACTACTTGGATTAGCAAAATTAGCATCTATTTTTAGCTTGATATATCTTTCAAGTGAATATTTTATTATTAATTCTAAAAGATTTGTTAGTAAGAATTTTAATATATTCAAACCAACTTGCAAATAATATAATTTTGTAGACTTGAGATTCTATAAATTATTATTTTAGAGATTATTAGAGATTTTGATTTAGTTTGATATCTGTTGCCTTGCATTCTTGTGAGATTTGTTTAATGAGTATGCGACATTGTTACATCCTAAATCCTCGAGTTTGGGGTGTGACAAATTAGATTAAAAATAGAATTATCTAAGTTCCCAATCCCACATTGGGATAATTTAAAGTTCTACTATGATATATATGTAGAGGCTTAAATCCAAACTTGTGATGCACCTTTTATAGGACAAAACCATGACACCTTCGGGTTAAAGTAGACAATATCTATCAGATTAGATGCGAGTCTTTACGAACAGTATTAGAGCTATCATTAGTCGAATGAGAACTAAGTGTTACACCATAGAAGCTACCTCTAAAATCATGCGGGAGCAAAGAGCTACATAATGGGAGCCACCTCTAGAATCCTAAAATTTGGTGTGATTCTGTGATCTGTGTGTACTTTGTGTTAGACTTGCCCAACAGTTGGTATGATTTAGTAGATCTATATGCTTTGCATTTGGTTTGATGTCCCCATCAAGCTTTAACGAGAGGAATTTGTAATGTTCCAATTTCTTCTCAGAATAATTTGAAGTTTTACTATGATATATATATATATATAGAGAGAGAGAGAGAGAGATTTAAACTCAAACTTTGAAGATATTTTTTGTGGGATAAAACTGTAAAACTTTCAAGTCAAAACAAATAATACCTCATATGTTTGGTACGAATCTATATGCAAATAAAAGTGTAATGGCAAGAGGGATGGGTATCACTAAGATGTAAATGCATAGGAAATCTTCAATTGACCACAAATTTTGAAACTCTGCTTCAAATCTCCCAATTCAATTGAAACTACAGGGAAAAGTATCAACCAATACGAGATTTGTTTAATTAATTAGCTCAGACTATGGACATGTATACTTCAATCGAACCCTCCCAAATTATATTATGTACTTATAATTTGTTTCATTTATGTTAAAAACATATTATATATAATGGAGATAATGAGTTATGTATGCATAATAAATATTGATGGTGATTGAAGAAGTGTGAAACGTTGGCTGATGAGAATTAACTCGTGGAACAATTAAAAAAAGAAAAACAATGAAAGAAGGTCCTCCAAAAGCATCTTAATTCATTACCAGACCCTTTTACTTTAACAAACTTAAATGGAAACTACAAAGTTATCACGTGAACTAGCTAGCCTTTTCTAAGAGTGTTCACTTGTCATGTTGATATAGATTGAAAACTTTAAAATACATTACTTCAACATTTTTCCATCTTTTTCTTCAAAAAATTATTGTTGTTCGCAAATAATAAATTGAATTTTTTTTCACCAGAGGGAATTTGATAGACCTTGCTTATTAGCTAAATTTTCATGTTACGAATAATTATAAATTGAGTGTAAAATTAAATATTAATATTTTATTTAAAGAATTTATTTTTTAATTTTTCTTTTTATTTTAGAGAGTGAGAATTGTATAATATAAAAATTTTTTAAAAATAAAAACAAATTTATCCTCCTCGTATCCTAATCATTTACATCCCTAAAGAGACGTGTGAGAGAGCAACCAATTACGACGGAAGCAGGGGGCATGTCTTTTGGTCTACGTCAAGGACCACCCACCCTCGCCAACGATATATTCCCTTATCCTGAAATCCACATTTCCACGTTGATTTGATCTTAGCTTTAACGAAATGCCATCCTCAATTTTAAATATTAAACAGTGTAGCATTAATTTTTAAATTCCTTTTTAAATAACTTAAGAGTAGAATATCACGCAATATTTTTTGGATTCTCTTTTATTTAATTTCTTTGGATTCTCTTTTACTGTAATTTTACTTAAAATTTTCATAATTCTTTATTAAAATGTTACAATAATTTTAACTCATTTTACTACAAATGATATGCATTTTATTATTTCTCTCACATGTCTGTGTTAGTATTTTTTTTGAAGGTTATTTATTTCCAAATATTAATTTTTAACGTTGTGTTTCATTCTTTTAGTCTTTAAAATATTTTTTAGTCATGGCATATATACTTACAAGAACAATAATTAATTTGAATTTTTATACTTATTCTTTGTTATTTTGTTAAAATAATATCTTCTTATTCTTAATCTTTTCTTAATTATTTATTTTAAAATTTTTATAAATTTATCTTTTGATGTTATAACACTTCTAACTCATTTTCCAACAAATTATACTAATTTTATAATTTCTCACATATGTTTACATTAATGATTCTTTTTATTTTTTATTTTCAAACATTAATTTTTTAACAGTGTCTTTTTTACTTTTAAGTATTGTTTAGTCATTGGCCTAAAAATATTTATATGAATAATAATTAATTTAAATTTTACGTAACAACTTAATCATTTATGTTAAAAAATATTTTTTTTCATTTATTCTTTCCTTTCATTATATTTAAAAGTTTTATAATTCTATCTTAAAACATTACGTCACTTTTAACATATTCTAAATTAACTGATATGAATTTTGTTATTCTTCTCAACTATTTACGTTTATAATTGTTAAAATATATTTTAAAATATTAACTTTTTATGTTATCTTTTTAGCCTTGAAAGGATTTATTTAGCTATTGATGTTATATATCTATTAATTAGAAAAATAATTAATTTAAATTTTACATTACTAACATAGTTATTTACGTTAAATAATATCTTCCAACACTTAAACTTTGCTTGGTTAAAATTAAAGATGGAAAAGATTAGGAATGAAAAACTTATTAATCTAGTAATTAAAATTTATAATCATTTTTTTATTTTGTAGTTTAACTCTTAAATTAAAAAGTTTTATCCTTATGCCTTTTCATCTTCTATATCAAGCAAAGCCTTAATCTTACGTTTTATTATTACTTTTAAAATTTTCATAACTTATTTTTTAAAATGTTACAATATTTCTAATATATTTTATATCAATTGAAACAAATTTTATTATTTCTAGATCTCACATGTTTACATCAATATTTTTTTATTCTTTCATTTTAAAATATCAATTCTTTTATATTTTCCTTGAAATTATTTTTATATTAATATTTTATTAATTAATATCGAATCATACTTTTTGTTTAATACTTTTTAACTTTTAAAAGATACCAATTATTTTAAATTTTTTAAAATAAATATTTTATTATTATTATTATTATTATTTATTTTAAGTAAATTCGTAAACAAGTAAGAGTGAAAAATCGAAGACTAATCGGGGCAAACGAGAAATGAAGTTGAGCATAGCAAAAATTATGGAGAATAAAATTTATATATTAATGGTTTATTGAAGCATACCTCACTTGAGATGGATCTTCAAAAGCTGTATGGATCTGTAAAGGAAAAATCAAGGACCAGTTTTTTTTTTTTTTATTTCCCTGTTAAAAGAACAGAAAATTAGAAATCAATAAAAGAAAAAAAAATCGCTTTTTTTAGTTACAGAAGTAAAGTAGAAAATCAAGGAAATTAAAAGAGCACCAAAATTTTTTTGTTGAGTTATAAAAAGAATAGCAGTAAGGCAGAAATCAAACAAAGGATTTGGTAGTTTTGCTAGCTGGAAGATGTGGAGATAATGATAGAAGACGATGCTTGATTGCTTCAATGGAAACTGCTTGAGGAGAAAGTTGCAAGAGTAAGGTAAGGCAGCAACACAGAAGAAAAAAGATCAATATAACAAGGAGATATGAAGTTTCAGGATCAGACAGCTTTACTTCAATTGAATTAAAAAATTGAACCATCAAAGATTTCTGTGACCAATTGAAACTACAGAGGAAGTTTCATCAATGACTTCTTTAATTTCTTTGGAGTCTTTTTTATTATTATTATAATTACTATTCTTCTTATTCTAATCCTTAGAGGAAGACAATTTGTAAAAGGCCTAAACATCTTTTCCTTTTATTGGGAGGCGTAACTTCTTTAATTTGTCATTTTATTTTAATTTATTGATTTTTAAATAAAAATATTTTTAAAATATTCTATTAATGTAAGAGATAAATTTCTGTTAATTTCAATTTTCTTTCGTGTTTAAAGAAAACTGATGAATTACAAGTCAACTTTGCTTCAAATGAAAAAAAATGAAAATCAACAATCCACAAATATTGGAAAGTTCTACTTAAAATCTTTGTAACTAATTGAAACTACCTGGGAAAGTTGCATTAAAGACTTCTTTAATTTCTTTAGAGTCTTTATTATTATTATTATTATTATTATTATTATTATTATTATTATTATTATTATTATTATTATTCAAACCTTTAGTGGAAGAAAACTTGACAAGGGTCCAAAGTAACATCATTTCCTGATGTCTTGGGAGAAACAGATATTAGTTCCCACGTTAATTTTTTTTTTTCTTTAATCTGATTGCTATCAAGATTGCCAGCTTGTTCATCACAGCTTTTGCTGGTGGGATATCACATCCACTTTTGAATTATTGATCCCTTTATTTTTGTTTTTTTCCAATTATTTTTCAGCAGTAATTTTCTCACCTACTTTATTTTGTTGGTTTTCAAGGGATTACATTCTCAACCTATGTACATGTATTCTTCAATTGAATCCCCTCAAATTGTATTATGTACTTATAATTTGTTTCATTTATGTTAAAAACGTATTATATATAATGGAGATAACGAGTTATGTATACATAATAAATATTGATGGTGATGGAAGAAGTGTGAAACGTTGGCCGATGAGAATTAACTCGTGGAACAATTAAAAAAAGAAAAACAATGAAAGAAGGTCCTCCAAAAGCATCTTAATTCATTACCAGGACCATTTTACTTTAACAAACTTAAATGGAAACTACAAAGTTATCGAGTGAACTAGCTAGCCTTTTCTAAAAGTGTTCACTTGTCATGTTGATATAGATTGAAAACTTTTAAATACATTACTTCAGCATTTTTCCATCTTTTTCTTCAAAAAATTATTGTTGATCGCAAATAATAAATTGAATTTTTTTTTCACCAGAGGGAATATGATAGACCTTGCTTATTAGCTAAATTTTCATGTTACAAATAATTATAAATTGAGTGTAAAATTAAATATTAATATTTTATTCAAAGAATTTAATTTTTTTAATTTTTCTTTTTATTTTAGAGAGTGAGACAACACTACTCTCAAATATGCATAAACCAAGAACAACAATTTTTTTCTACCACTTTTTGTTGGAACAGTTTTTTAACAGAGGAAACAAATTCTCCAAATTGCAATTTTGGGGTCAGACTGAAAAAAATGAAAATGCAGAAACAACTATCGAAATTATACTAGAGGTATGAATGATTATACGAATTTAGCAACAAATTGACCGCACATGCAGGTCACGTGCGCTTTAACAGTCCCTAAGTGTTTGGTTAAAGTTTTGTTTGTTTCTTTGTAGGTGTAATTTTTTTTCACTGTTTCTGAAATTTCACGGCGGGAATTGAAGAGAAAAAGAAAGAAAAATAAAAAATAAAAAGAAAGGTGTTTTCCTTGTCATTCGCGGTGTAAACAGTGGTTCAATGCACGACGCTTTTAAGAGATATAGGAATATTAATTTTATCTATATTTAATAAAGAATTTAATTTTTTTACCTTAATAAAGATAATGATAAATATTATACTATATGAATATGAATAGATATAATTTTTAAATTTTTATTAAGCAAAAATGTGAAAACGAGTAATATAATATTTGCTTCGTACTTATATTTTACGTATATATTTATATATTATTAGTAAATAAATTTTTTATTAAATAATATAAATTATTATTTTATATTAATTAAAATAAATACATTTTTATTAAAATATATATTAATAGATATTTATTAAAAATTATTTAAATATACAAATAAAAAATAAATTTATATTTTATTAATTCTAAGAGGTTATAAATATAAAAATTATTTATACCTATTAAATATTTTAAAAAATAAAATAAATTTAAAATATTCATTAAATATATATAAATATTAATATTAATATAATATAAAAAGTTTTTAAAAATAAAAAACATATTTATCCACCTTGTATCCTAATCATTTACGTCCATAAAGAGACGTGTGAGAGACAGCAACCAATTACGAAGGAAGCAGGGGGCATGTCTTTTGGTCTACGTCAACGACCACCCACCCTCTCCCACGATATATTCCCTTATCCTGAAATCCACATTTCCACGTTGATTTGATCTTAGCTTTAACGAAATGCCATCCTCAATTTTAAATATTAAACAGTGTAGCATTTAATTTCTACTCACATAAATGTCGAACATATTCGAACAACTAGTAAATTTTTTTTTTCATTCGTAGGTATAAGCCACTTTGAATTAGGTTGAAAAATGTTAAATTGTTATTTTTTGTATGGATGATTTATGATTTGATTTTGGTTCCACTCACTTGAATGTCAAATATGTTTAAACAATTAGTTGATTTTTTTCTCTCATCCGTGGATGTATGCTATTTTGGATTAGACTGAATTACGTTAAATTATTGTCTTTTATATGGATAATTTATGATTTAATTTTACTTCCGCTCACTTGAATGTCAAACATGTTCAAACAATTAATAGATCTTTTATCTTATTTGTATATGTGAGTTGTTTTTTATTAGATTGAATCACGTTTAATTATTATGTCTTGTATAGATGATTTATGATTTAATTATACATCGGTTTGCTTGTATGATTGATTGATTTGAGTTTTGTCTCTAAACTAAGATGTGTGGACTTTTTGCATCATCAACTCCAGAAACCACTAGGAAAGGAAAATTAAAGATCAACCTTAAATAAAAAAAAATAAAGATCAACAGCAATAAAATTATAAGAACATGGAATTTTTTTTGAATTAAAAACAAATTGGCATAGATATAGCATGAAATAAAATAGAAAATAGAAATAAAAAAAAAAACAAATCATGACAAGCTTGTCCATATCATTGTCTATGTTCCTGTCAACATCAACGTTTTGTCTACATCAACTGAGTGTTAGCATCAATTTTATGTTTATTCCAACTTTATGTCAATTTGTGTTATATCAATTTTATGTTAGGTTTTATATCAGTTTTAAAACTGTTTTGATAAATAAAGGAATATAATCCTCTTTATTAAAATTATTATATTAAAGTTACTTTAGTTAGTTTGTTTACTTTATGTTGACTTTGTATTGTGTTAACTTTACATTAAGTTTTATGTCAATTTTATTAAAGTTATTTTTATAAATAAAAGAATATATTATTTTTTATTAAAGTTACTTTAGTTAGTTTGTTTATGATTTAAGTCTTTGTCTTGAACTCCTATAATAATGTTTTGGCCCTATCCCTTTATTGTTCTTTGTCTATATAAGGTTGTAACTCTTTCATTCAAACGGCATCGAGGAGTTCAAAACTTCTCTTGTGAAATATAAATTTAAAATTTTTAAATTTTTTTTTATTATTCCTTTTTATCTCAGGTTTTGTCTAGAGTTAATTCTTAGTTTTATATCATGATTTATAGTGACATAAGTTAGTACTTTTAATAGTTACTATAGTACTATGAATCCTCTAAATTAAAATTCTTGTAAAATTATCAAAGCAGATTATTGATCTATTAATAAAAAAAGTTACTGTACAGTAAAAATGTATTCAAATAGCTGAAATCAATAAAACCTAAAAGAAAAATATAATAAAAAAGAGGGCCAAAACCTTTTGTCCTTTTTCATGGAGATGCTCCTTCCAACAAGATTTTACCACGTGGTCTTTAAGGAAAGTGATGGCCGTGGTGCGTAAGTCCTTTTTCATACTATAAAACAGCGTTGGGTTAGGTGGTTTGCATGGAATCTGGGTCCAATTAAACTTGAGCCTGTTAGGTAGTGATAAGAAATTTTATTTTGATCAAGTTCACGGGTAGGTCAGAAGCGCCTCTCAATCCAGCATATGCAAAGCCAATAATTGGATGTACGAGATTCAATATTTAAGGTTCCACATTTTATTTATTTATTTATATATATAGATGATTTTCATATATAGAAATTTAAATTGTGATTATTGTTTGGTCCTATAAAATTTGTTGTGGTTATGGATATAACAAATACGATAATGGTTTATGCTTATCATGATCGTAATTTTTTTTTTAATTTTTGCATAACTCATCATAAATAAAATAAATACTATTATTTTATATTATTTAAAATATATATTTGATATATTATATTATTTTATATTTTTTAAAAAATCTTAAGACATTTTAATTGCATTTTTTATGATAAAATCAATTATTAACAATTTTTAAATTATAGCTTAATAGTCAATATTCTCATTTAACAGTTATTCGATAAGATATCCATGAATTTTACAAGCATGACTAATATAACTATATAGAATTAAAGTATAATATCATATGTAAAATTAATTGAAAAATATAATATATGAAAATTATTTTATCAATTAGCAAATTAAATCAATAGTTAGCAACTTAACTTTAATTAAACAAGGAAAAGCAATTAAAAATAAAGTTAATTATAACAAAATTTTAATGTAAAATTAATTATTTTTAAATAATACTTTTACATATAAAACATTTATAAAAATAAATTTACTATTTATCATCTTTCATTCTCTCTCAATTTCAATCTAAATAAAAAACTTCTTAAATTCTTATTTCCCACCAAACTTCCCCTCTCAACTTTTTATCTAAACAATAAAAACTAATTTTATTACTTTTAAAGGCCCTCACTTGACCCGATTACCTTTGTTTCTTCTCTACCTACTTCAATCCCCATTCTTCCCCATCTAACCTCTTTGCATCCCTATAAATTCCCCTTCTCATGATAGACCTGCCCAAAACCTAGCACAACA